AATATGAAAGAAAAAGACATACTTTTTTGCACTTTAAACTTACTGTCTTACTGGCACCAGTTGATGTGTTTCTTTCTAATTTTTTTTTTTTTTTTTAGACAAGAATATTTTCTGTCAACATGTAGAAATGGGCTGTTCTATGAAACAGTTTCTGAATGTTTCATAAATTGGGTTATTTTATTGTATTTTATTATATTTCATTATATATATATATAAAAAAAGAAATGTTAGAACTGGAAATATACAGCCATATGTTTATATTACTGTTTTTATGTATTTTTTTTTTACTGTTTTCAAGGCTGCACTTTAAAAAAGTGAAATGGTCTAGAGAGCTGTTCTTAACTAAATTTCTTTTTGTTTACATTTATGTAAACAAAATGACAAAATAAATCTAAGTCTAAGGAATGAAAGGAGCTGTGAATATGTTTAGCTACGTTAGGAATAATCAATAAGCAAACAGTAACTGCACTTATCTAAAATAATCTAAAAATAATTTAAAAAATTACTTTAAAAATAAATTTAAAAATTACTTTAATTGTTTTCTCCCCTAATTTCAGCAGGAACATAAGATGATTTGCCAATGGAAAGAGTTTTTCTACTCTTAAAATAAGATAGATAATATGCACTTTAAATAAGACAATGCAATTGTCTTTTCCTATTTGAAATGTAAATTGTCTTGTTCCATCGGCAAAGTGTCTCACTTACTTCCTCAATTCAATAAAAAATGACTTATTCAATTTTTTTTTTTGCAGTGTGAGCCATGTACCACAATTACATTTTAAGGCACCCCCTAAAACCAATAGCTGTATAGCTTGCAGCAAAAAGGTCCCAGATTTGATTTCTATTCTTGGGTGTTTCTGCATTGTGTATGTGAGGCTCTCTCTTGGTTCTATGGCTTCCTACAACAGACCCAAAACATGAATGTGAGGTTAATGGCTCTCTCTTCATTGGCCTCGGGTGTTTGCCTGCATGATTTTTTGTCTCTGTGTTTCCCTTTGGTGGACTTGTGATCTTTCCAGGGTGTCCCCTGCCTTTCACCCATAGACTGTTGGGGATACGCCCCAACTCCATCAAAGACAAACTTGAAGATAAATGGATGAAATATAATAGTTATTATTATTGTTGGTATCATTCATACTGTGCTGTTATTCAGAGTTCTGTATTGGGAAAGAGAATTATGACACATAAAAGATTAAAATGGAAATTAAACTGACTGCAGGCTGTCATTAGTAGTAGTAGCACAAAGTGCTGTAGCTGCTTGAATAAAGAAATCAGATTAAAGGTTATGTAATTTAAAGCTCCAACAAAAGTATGCAAAATGTCCTTTCTTTTTATATATTTAAGAGAGAAAAATATCATATTTGATTAGTTTGTATATCAATTTATTTCCTCATATTTTGTCATTTCTTCTTATGCCAGACTCTTTTGTTCAAAGGATTTGATAATTGGTAATAAAAAATAAAACTTAAAATTCACATTTGGATTTTGGATTTGACCACGCCTCGGAGGGTAAACCCAAGTTCTGTTTAATATTATTAATGCTGTGTAATAATATAATTTTAAAAAGTCTCAGTTATTTTTTTAACAATGGGAATCACTATCATCTCACCACTGGGTGGCGCTGCTATGCAGTCTTACATTATTGTTTTCTTTTTTCTCAAAACTGATTCAAATAGCACAGATCTAGAGAAAAAATCCAGCTTTTACAAAAAGAATTAGGTAAAATAAAATATCTGATACAACTGTGCACTGCGGGCCTTTATATTTTACGTTTTTATTTTGTATTTCCCTAATTTATAAAGCTATATACATGATTTAAATTATAGGATTGATATTTGTTGACATATTAGTATGCAGGGAATCTATAACACAGGTTGAGAAAATGCTGAAATCCATGTCCAAAAATCTTAAAGAATAATTTTACCAATTATAAAGTAGCTAAGTAATTGGATATTTAGAGAAGCATCATTTAAAAAGTGTTTATTTTTTATGTATTAGTTAAGAGTTTTAGGAATTGATTTTAAGTTGCTTTCCTCTTATTCGCAGAAGACATACCTTTTGAGGTTTAGCTAAATTTCTGGTTTAAATTCAAGATATATTTGAACAAATTTCAAATAAAGGAAAAAATTGTTAAAAGCTCTGAATTAGTTTAATTTTCTAACCTCTGATTGTTTCGTGTCCAATGGATTTTTTTTTTTTCGCTTATATGTTTTTATGCTTCTTGTATTCTTGTAAATTTTTGTGCTAATCAAAAATGTCTTATCTTTTCAAAAAGAAATAAAACATAAACAAAAAACAATCTGTTTTCCAAAAATTAAAAACTCCTTTTAGTTTTGGGGGACTGTCCCCAACTGTGTTTTAATTTGACTTAAAGAAAAAGACACAACAACTAATATGAACATGTAAATATATATATTCATATGTTGAAGAATAAACTGGAGACAGGCGCACAAATAACAAATTAAATTAACGAATCTCTTTAAATTAGATAACTTTATTAATATAAAATACTAAAAACACTTTGTTAGCATCAAATTGAACAAGGAGTAGGCCATGGCAGAGCTTCACACAAACTGCATTAAATAGAGCTGAGGTTAAAGGCAAACAGGAAAACCAACTTTATGGTAAAAACAAAAACAGGCAGACAAGGAGGTAGGATTTGATCATTTCTGAATGATTGTCTACAACAGTTGTCCAGTGTGGTCCAGGTTTCTTTGTAAAAAATGGTTTCGTTCAGGAAATCACACAAAATGATAAACAGTCTCCCGCAGGTTTCAGTCCAAAAAACTCAGACTCCATCTGAGGTCCAGCAGGATTATTCTGCTTCCTCTAATTTGAGTTATCAGAGGGGTCTATTATCATTGGCTGTCGTCGGAAATAAACAAATAGGCAGATAAAAGTCATAATCTTTCATCCTTCTGTATAAAGGATATTCTGTCATGCCCTAAACCATCTTTCCAGCAATGACTCTGATCTATTTTTCTTACATGAAGTTCCTTCTTAATGCAACCATACCTTTCATCGATCATTGGAAATAATCCTGAGCACTTTGCCCCCTGGGTGAAGCATAGTGGTGGCCGCATAATGCTATGGGGTCAGGTTTAACAATGAGAGACGCTGGTGAGAGAAGAAATGCAGCCAAATACAGAACAGTCATGGAAGGAATGAAGCCTGTTATAGACTGAAAGATTCAAGGGCAGAACATATCCACCATCAGCAGGATGGTGGCCTTAAACATACAACCAGATGTTTAAATGAACAAGCTCACAAAATCCCAAGGAAATACATGGAAGTTTGAGGTTGAAGTGTGACCAAATGTGAACCAATGAGTACCTTTGCAAGGCACTCTAGCCCCTTTTCTCAGTGATATCTCACAACAGTCTAACAATCCTTTATATGTCCATTTTTATATATATCAACCAAACTTTCAAACATCCAGGTCTGAGTCACTGTCTGTGACTGAGAGGAAAGTTTCTCCATCTGCGCGCTCTGCGCTGCCGTCTGGACTGCAGTCTCCTCCACTCAGTGGGCGGGAACCATCCGTGCAGACGTGGTGGTGCTGCAACCTGCAAAAAAATAATAATTAACAATGAGATGATTGCATAGAATTGACATCTCTAAATCTTATGAATCCAGCGATTCTTGCAGGTTTTGTTTTGGGTGATTTAGCTCCACTTTGAAACACTTCACATAACGAATATTTCAAGTGGAGTAGGTGTGCGCTTTTACGCACAAGTTCAACTTTTACGCAACCAGTTTTGATAACCGCCTGATGAGCTTTAAAGTTGCACTGATTTCTAACTAGTTTCTAGACATTTGCAGGATTGAAAGCTGCACCCACCTGTTTTTAGCCGCCGCCGCACGGTCCCTCTGTCTCCTGTTTTTGAACCAGTTCCCAACCTGGGTCGGTGTCAGTCCGGTTGCGTGCGCCAGCTCCCGTTTTTTCCCCGGGTTTGGGTACGGGTCCTGCAGGTACCACTCTCTCAGCAGCCCTCTCGTGCGCTCCTTGAAGCAGTGCGTTTTCTGCTCTCCGTCCCAGATAGTCCTTGGTAACGGGAACTTCTTTCTGACCCGGTACTTGTCAACAGGTCCCAGCGGCCTCCCCCGGAGCTTCTCCGCCTCCCGGTAGTGAGCCTCCAGCCACATGGCCTGCAGCTTCCCGTGCGACGTGCGCGTAAAGCGGTGTGTCTCCAGGATGCGGTACAGCTCGCGGAAACTCCCCGTATGGAAGGCCACTACGGCGCGCGCGCGCCGCACCGACTCGTGCTCGGAGATGGAGTCGCGGCCGTCGGCGGTGACCGGCAGGGACCAGAGGAAGCGGGCCAGCCGCTCGATGTCCCCGGTCTCCTCCAGGGTCTCGCACACGCTGGCGATCTGCGATGCGGAGAAGCAGAGTCCCGGGAAGGTTAGGGGAGGGGCGGCCGCCTGGGGGTCCTCTGGGGACCGTGAACGGGGCAGGTGAGGGGCCCCTTCTGCAAAGTGGGGCAGCAGGAGGCGGGAAGCTGACAAAAAATCAAGCGGAGACCTGAAAACCATCTGGATTTTAAAGCGACGCTTAAAAAAATAGAAGAAACTACGATGGTTTCTGAAACAGACTATCACAAATCTGCTGAAGAGGGAGTATTTAGCTCACCTGGGAATCAGGGAGGGGCCCTGGATCTGATTTCTGATTGGAAGCCCCACAGCTGATGTGGGACTGTCTGTCAGATGCAGAGGATTTATCTCGCTCCTCATGCAAAAGATGGATACATCAAGCATCTTTACAGTGAAAAATAATCTTTTCTTCAAAAGAAAAACGAACACATTTCTCTTAGGATAACCTCACAAACACAATAAAAGATTTGTTTTCCTGCACAACAAAAATCCCCTCATCATTTCAAACCAGCTGTATACATTAAATACACAGTCTTATATTGTCAGGTTTAATTATGGTAGTGTTTGCATATGGCTTCCAACAAATCTGGATCCAAATTTTATGGTCTTAGAAAAGTGAGACATTGAATTAAGAATATAAAAAAATCCCAAGTAATGACCTGTGTTCATAGCATACAGAAAATGAATTCCCTCTCTTTTCAGTGCATAATGGATACTCTGTACAGCACTGAGGTTATTAAAAGGCCCTGGTTGCTTTAATACCTTAGGTTATGCTTGTGAATCATTTGTTACTCTCTCCATTATGACACAGTAAACTTTGCAGTGTTAAAGTAACACTTTAAGAGTGCATTTGGTCCCACTCGGAACTAGTGTTAAATTACCACTTTACATAATGTATATCTTACTGCAGTTGTTTTTTTTTTTCTAATAACTCTAAAAGAGTCAATCTTCTTTGACACTTCATATTTAACACTTTGGAATTTAACACTGACATCACCAAGTTTTTTTTTTTTTCCTAATAAGGGAATGACCAGATATCTTGGGAAATGTATCCCTCTGATTCTGAGCATATTTTCAAGACTGAGAAAAAAACTTGATGGAAACAAAACCAGAAAACACTAAAGCTGAGAAAAGTCAGTTTTAAAAATGGACATATGGGGATTTAAGCTCAAGATGATGTGAAAACTTTCGAGTGGACTTCAAGAAACAGAAGGTTCAGAAAGCAGAAAGTTTATTTATTAAGTTGAATTAAAGTAAGGGGATCTAGAATCATGATACGATATTCATACATTTGTTTTTCAGTAAAACATGTTTGAATTATCCTGTTTTGTGCCAAAGAAAACACAACACTGGAAAAAATGTACATCTAGATAAGCCATTTTTTCTTAAAATAAGTGCATTTGCTCTTGGATTAAGGAGGTGAAAGATAAATTTTCCAATGAAACAAGACAATTCACACTTAAAATAAGAAAATACAATTTCATTGTCTTATTTAAAGTGCATATTATCCAGGTATTTTATTTAAAGAGTAAAAATACTCATTCTATTGGCAAACTGTCTCATTTACCTACTCAAATTAAGAGTAAATGCACTTATTTTAAGAAATTTTTTCTTATATCTAGATTGTTTTTCCAGTGTATAAAAAAGGCTAAAGATTTACAAGAGGAAAGGAAACAAGAATATATTGAAGTGAACTAGAATCAACCAAATCTCATCACCTTTCTAGGCCTTCCAGTAAGCTGCTTGCATCATTAATATGGAGGCTGCCACCGGTGTGATCAAAAATCCCATCCAGACCTGAAAGCGTATGTTTCTCTAAGTGTTGTGCCATCACTCTAATCACTTTCTAATCACTTTCCTATTCTCTAATATCCATCATTTTTAGGGATTCGAGGATTAGTTTCAGGGCTATGCAGCCTGGTAACATTAGAGTGACATAATGTCACATATTCTATCGATATTAACAGTGGGCTGCTTTAGAAAGCCCTTTTCAACACACTGTTCTGATTAGAACTTGTCTTTTGCAAAGTAGTTCAAGCTGAATGCATTACATGTCATTTTTAAAAAGAAAACAGTCTCTATGTGTAAGTAATTCAAATGCATTCATCAAACATAATGCAGAAAAAATTAAAAACCCAATCTGCTGCTGTCACACACACACTTGTATTCCATGTGAAAAAGGGGGTCACCCCAGTTTTAAGGGTTAATGCCAATTTTACCAGCAGCCAGATGTGGCTCTTTAGTGGATTGAGCTGGCGTGTGCCATTTTTTTTCCCTCCAGCCTGGATTAATTAGAACAAGTGACATTACAACAAACAAAATAAAAAACAACAACATGCAGTGACAAAACAAGGGCTGCACGGTGGCATGCGGCTGTTAGAACTGTGGCCTTGCAGCAGGACATCACTGTCATGCTATGTGTTGTTCAGCTAAATTATAGCTGAACTCATCAAGGGCAGACTGAGCGGAACACAATCTGGTCTTTACTGAGTTTTAAAGAGACTTAAATCCAATCTCATGTGTATGATTTGTCTAAGGAAGAGTGTGACCTCCAGGTCAGCAATGTCTCCCCATCATCCTGAGTCTGCAATCCCCTTAATTATTAAATGTTGTGCCACTTAGCTCAAATAGCTCGAATATGAGGCAGGTGACACCTGACTGTATGGCCATAGCTTGAAAGCTAAAAAAGACTGTATAGAAAGAAGCTTTATTAGCTGAGCCAATTTTGACCATAAGCACATCAATAATAATAATGAACTTTATTGATCTTACATTAGAGAAATTTACCTTTGCATTTAACCCGTCACCCTTGGGGAGCAGTGGGCTGCCATTGTGTGGCGCCTGGGGAGCAATCAGGGGTTTAGAGTCTTGCTCAGGAACCCAGATTGGAGGCAGTGGGTATCGAACCGGATACCTGCAACCTTCTCAGAGCACATTATTTACACATTTTCACATGTAGCAAGAGGCAAAGTCATTCTCCAAAGTTTAAAATATAACAGACAGACATGTTGGAATGCATCAACATAAAAATAAAATTAAAAGTTTTTAATTATCTTGCAGTTCAATCATATTTAATCTCAATAAAGTTTCAAAGAGGGAAAGAATATCTTGAAGTTTCATAATGAAACTTTGTATAACCTCCTGGATGGGTTGTTGATGCCCTTTTGGAGTAATTTTGTTAGGTTAGTCCCTCTTGGGGAGGTTTAAAATAATTTCACACGTTTTTCTTCACATGCTGTTGTCCAAAGATCCCAGGGATAATGGCTCCTCTTATTGAGTTAATTTATTTTTTATTCTGTTGACTTAGGCAGGATATTTTCTTATAGAATTTTACACCACTTCATTCTGTCTGACAGGTTCTTCTATGATCAAGTTATCTTTTTTTCTTGAGTTCAAGTAGTAATTGGGGCTATTGTAGCTGGTCACACTAACATGGACAAGGAAAAGTACTCCAAAATATAGATACATCTACATCAAATTTCATGTTGTATGGGATCTTTTTTTTTGAGAGATCATGAGACTAACTAGATTATAGACATTAATGCAGTTAAAAAGCATTGCCTTTATACAATTCATTGTTTGCTCCTTTCCTGTACATGGCATACATGGACACACACTCGCCTGGTTTTGGATTAGTAGAAGCTTGATGGGTTATTCGTCTGCGTTTCTCTTCTTCAGTGGCGCGCACTACGCGTCGCTAAGTCTGCCCTACTGAGAGCAAAAGAAAAGCATGTATCTCTGACTATTGTAACAGCCTTAAAAATGTGGAAAACTGTCACTGCTCAGAGATCCTCAAGGCTGAAAAGACATTCATGCAATGAAAGCAGAAAGGACATGCCAAACATACTCAAGAAAAGTGTATGTTGTGGTGACTATAGGGGGTGTTTTAATGGTTGCTGTTAATTCAGACACTTCTTTATTTAGCAGTGAGGTGGAGGAGGGAACACGGGTGGATGACACTTCCAGGATGGCTGGACAAGAGATAAGGTGAATCTCCTTATCCCTGGTAAACAAAAGCCCAGCCTCTAATTAACCTTGCTGCTGACCTCCACAACTTAACACTAACCTCTTAAGCCTTGAAACTTTAACCCCTTTACCAGTCTCTTGGAAAAGACCATCCACCACCCTCCCACACTCTAACTCCCTCCTGAAAGCCTTCTCCTCGTTAAGCCCCTAATCACTTCCTGAGTCTTTTGTTGTGCCTCCGTGTTCTTGCAGGGATGCAGGAGAATCTGGTGAACAATGGCACCAAAATAAAGGAGAGAGAGAGAGAGGGTTAAAATTTTTGGAGGTTTAAATTAAAGATGGGAGGACCAGCTGAGCTGATGCTAAGAACCCAAGTTTTTCGAGGAGCACGGTGATGGATGCTGGAAGGCATCGCGTCGTGTGTGGTCAACATCTGACCACGTCTTGACCTTTGTCAAAGAGAGCCAAGGATAACAGGTACTCAAGTAACTGTACCTGGGTGAATAAACCCACCGCCTGATTGGTTTGTAAACCAATACCCCATCTCAATCTAATCCTGATGTTTTCTACATCCGTAGTCCACATTTACGAGCACTACAACAACCTGAGAGGTCACAAACACCTCGGCAGGTTTTACCAAACGTAAACACACGCAGATGCTTGCGAATATGTAACCAGATGGGTGGAACAAAGCACAATAATCCCATAATTTGACTAATAATCACTCAGACGTGTGACTGATTTAAGAAATAGAGCAGCTGTGGCAGATGTAGAGGCTCTAATAACATCATTATTTCATGTTTTGTTAGTTTCTCCTCACCATTCAAAAGGACCTTTTTAAATAATAACCTGAGTGAGATAAACAGAGCAACCAGCTGACATATAAACAGCAAAAATAAACAGCTGGAGGCTCAGCAAACTGCTGGCTGACAGGGTTTTATTAAATGTGCACACAGCTAATACATTAACACAGATGCAGTGGAAATATGTGTGAGGAAGAAAAACAACAAATATAGCATCTTCATACAAGCATTTTAATGCATCACTAAGTCTAAGCTCTTGTTTTGTGTTGTAAATTTATGGAAAGGACAATTTATTTTTACAAAAAGGTTTGAAAAATGTGGCATCAGTTAAAACTTTGTGGAGCAACTCTTTATTATGTTAACATCTCAAACTTTCTCTACAAGATTTTCACGACCGTGGTTTCTATGCAAACTTCTTTGCAAAATGGCTGAAGCAGTCAGACTTTAGATCTGGGCTTT